GTTACACTTATGTATTTTGTCTAAACTAAACTAAATTAATCTAAACATACAATTTAATATTAATGTTTGAATCAATGTTACTTGAGTTTCGGATTCAGAACTAATGTCTTTCTATAAAATATAAATAACTTAAGATAAACTATAAATATAGAAGCATCATCACCAAACATATTCCTAGAGTTTAATAAAAGAAATAACAATAAACACAATTTAGTCTAGTTGGTTATAATGCTCGTTCTTCATTTAAGTGGTCGGGGTTCAAACTCTAATGATAACATTTTTAATATATAAAGATGAAGTGAGTGCAATGACAAAAATGACCTTCCTAGAATCACTCTTAGACCACGAAGTTTGAAATGAGATAATTCCAACCCATGTTTTGCCATCCAGATATCACAATCAAAGCCTATATACATAACACAATTATTAGTTAGATTGCCATTAGCTGGATTACCGTGCTCTTAAGCCCATAAAAATTAAAATGGAAACGACCAAAAGACTCCTCCGTGGTCTGCACTAGAGCCGAGAAAAATTGAATTAAGAGGTGTTGGAGAAGAACCTCCATATATGTATTGTTTGATTTGATATTTGATTTGATTTGACACGTGAATATAAAAGGGAACGAGCTGGGACTGGGAGTCAAGGCATTGAAGGTAGGGATGGCAATGGGTAGGGTAGGGTGCGGGTTTACCCTATACCAACTCCTAACCCGCCGGATAGAGCTTTCTAAAATACCCGACCAAATAACCACCGGGTATGAAAATTATATAACCATACCCTACCCATCGGGTAACCACGGGTATTCGGGTAACCATGGGTACGAATCCTAAACTATGAACTTATACACATATATACACATACATACTCTTGTCTATTAAAAATTCTCAATACTTGTAACTGTTCTAGCTTCAACAATCCACACAAATAAAAACAGCAAACACATAATAATTGTTCTTGCTTCTACAATCCACACAAACATAATAATCGCCTACATCTTCATCATCAATAATGGTAGCTAAACTCAATTTCTCAAGCTAAAATAAATTTCTCAAGGGAAATTGATCATTTGGTTAGCGGGGCGGGTATGACGGGCGGGTATTATCGATTACCATACCCGTACCCTACCCTTTATTTTGAAACCGGGTATTACCCGTACCCGCCCCTTAACCCGTCAAAGCGGGTAATTACCCTCGTTGACCGGTTACGGTAGGGTAGGGTACCCATACGGGTTGGATTGACATCCCTAATTGAAGGTGGATTTTATTAGGGGTGTTCAAACGGAGTGGTTATCGTGGTAATCATTTTAACTGGTAGTATTTGGATAATTTGATTTGATTAATTTGGATAATTGATCTGGTTTGGTTAAAGTTGTTAGCTTGTTTGGTTTGGTTTTAGACACTCATAACCAATAAAACCAAATTAACCAGTTAAGTAATTAGTCATATATTTAATATATATTATATACACATACTTAATACTTTACATAACCACTAAAGAGTCAAATGTAAGATCATTGTAGTTATTACATGTATTAATGTTAACGGTTAACTATAATTATGTATTGATTGTTATGTGTTATTCAATATATAAATTCAGAATTAATGCACTAGCCGGAATTTTTCTCACTTAATGATAATGTGATGTTATATTGGTTATTTGGTTAACCAATTAACCAAACCAAATAAATTTTAGTTTGGTTAATTTGGTTGTTGTATTAGTTTGAACGGTTTGGTTATGATATTGTATTCCATTGTTAATAAAATTTTGTCTAATTTGGTTTGGTAATTACTAATTACCATAGTAACCATTTGCACACCCCTAAATTTTTTATTAGAATGTCGGTCATGACACCTCCGAGCTGAATTGGTGGCTGGGTTCCGGTTTTACATGTCTGACCGACTAGACCGACTTTGTTTTAACAACTATGAACAAACATATGCTCCTTACTCTACAACCCATGGGGGCACATGTTACAGAAACCGTTGGTTCTCCCCATTTAACCAGCTTATCCTTTATCGTATACAAGACTAACCAAAAAATAATGCTATAGCGGGAGAGGCCTCTTGTCAACACTTCAAAACCTTCCTTTGTATCTTCTGATCCAGGCCACCCAAAGCAACCCTCCCTATGACAAAATACTCTGTATATGTCTAATAACGCAAGGCTTCTTCCACATCTTAAAGTCTTTCACTCCCAATCCCCCTCAATCTTATGCAATGTTCAAGAAGACGCTAGGCGCTATCTAGGTGAGGAGGTACCGCCCAGCGCCCAGTCCGATTAGTCGTTGCCTAGATGAGATTAAACGTTGAAAAAAATATGATAGATAAGCCATATTCCACAAAAACCCAAGTCGTCATATCATTATTCATCCACTCATATACACATAAAATCCTTTTCCACAATCCCAAACATCACAAGTCGCCAACCATGAGGAGGGATCTCACTGCTGGCCGATGAGGGGGAGCGGCTGGTCGAATGGAAATGGGAAATAGAGATTTTCACAAAAAGGCTACACTTTCCCCTTAATTAGTTGTTCTGGGCGTCGCTGACCAGAGTGAAAACGCAACTCCGGATGCCTAGGTGCCTAGATCAATCTCCCAAAGCTAGACGAGACGATTTCCTCCAGCCCAACTATTAATTGCGTCTAGGCGAGAGATTAATCGCGTCTTCTTGAACACTGATCTTGTGTCTCTGACAGTCAAATGCCAAGCCTTTAGTACTCTAACTCAAGAGCCAGTATCGGTAGACCAGAGGCAAGTAGGGATGTCAATTCAACCCGTAACCATGGGTACCCTACCCGACCGTAACCGGTCAACGAGGGTAATTACCCGCTTTGACGGGTTAAGGGGCGGGTACGGGTAATACCCGGTTTCAAAATAAAGGGTAGGGTACGGGTATGGTAATCGATAATACCCGCCCCGTTATACCCGCCCCGCTAACCAAATGGTCAATTTCCCTTGGGAAATTTAGATTAGCTTGAGAAATTGAGTTTAGCTACCATTATTGATGATGAAGATGTAGACGATTATTATGTTTGTGTGGATTGTAGAAGCAAAAATAATTATTATCTGTTTGCTATTTTTATTTGTGTGGATTGTTGAAGCTAGAACAGTTACAAGTATTGAGAATTTTTAATGGACAACACAACAGTATGTACGTGCATATATGTTTATAAGTTCATAGTTTAGGATTCGTACCCATGGTTACCCGAATGCCCGTGGTTACCCGGTGGGTAGGGTATGGTTATATAATTTTCATACCCGGTGGTTATTTGGTCGGGTATTTTAGAAGGCTCTACCCGGCGGGTTAGGAGTTGGTATAGGGTAAACCCGCACCCGACCCTACCCATTGCCATCCCTAGAGGCAAGCATTACACACATTTTCTATTTCCTTAAAAAAATTAAGGCAACAGATACAAAGCCATCAAGTACGGGAGAGTACTAGAAATCATGGAAGAGATTAATTTCATCTTCCCTGCATAGATTGCAATCAAGAGCAAAATGTTCATCCAAGGGGAACCCTGTATACTCTGAAACCAAACACTAAATAATTGGCAATTAAAACGAACAAGGATTTGACCTAATGATAATACCACTAACCTAAAGAACCTGGATGTCACATATTTGAATCCATTTAGTAATACCTTAATAAAAAAAGTAAAAACCGATATCACCTTATATACAGAAAACTATTAGATGGATTGCATTTGACCCCAAAAATCAGATAAATGTGAGATACCTCACATCTAGGAAGACAGAGAATCTGATTCTTAACCATATATTTTCATAATAATCAAAGAGAACCTCTATATCAATGCGGAAGGAAACATGAGGCCCCCATGCCTTAAACCTTCTTCCTAGCAAAATACCCACATAAACTACTATTTAGAGCAATGCTGAACACCTTGGAAGAGACACACAAGTGAGATAAAGACAAGGAAAATTAATACATTGCAACACTAGACCAATGTGGATATCCGTCCAAAGTCGGCATAATCAGGTAGAGTAAATTCTGAATTTGAAGATTTTTCAATGGATATAGAGAAAACTCGAATTCGAATATGAGATAGCAATCTACCAAAGAAGGTCCACACAAGCACCACTAAGAATGTCTGACCACATATCTAAATAAGCTAATATTTGAGACTTGTAGATGTAGTTATTTACTTTATGATCACGAGTAGTGAAGAGAGATTTAAGATTGAGATTTCATGTTTTGAGGTTTGCCCAAGTGTTATGGGTTTGCTTTTGAATTAAGAGAGTTTATTTTCCAGTATTGATATTTTGAGTACAATGTTATTTTTCCTTTAAATTTTTTAAATATGCTCTAGAGCAAAATTATTATTTAAAGGTTTCAAGGAGTAGGATGTTAGAGCATTAGTCTAGTATGATAATATAGCATGACGATTAAGGTGTTGTATCCAAACACCTTATTCGTCATCCTAACTTTTATAAAAAGTGTTTTAATCTCCTTAATCAAGTTTTTCTCTTTCAAAACACATAAACACTAAAACAAACATATACAACTACACCAAATAAAAAAATAAAAAATAAAATAAAACTACACTCAATATGAGAAAAAAGACAAAAAAACATTTAAAATTGAAAAGCGAACGACATGAATTTTCAACATATCTCATACATGTTCGGGACGAGTTTTTCAACATCTCCCCGACCTGTTCAAGACGGGTTTTCTATATGTACCAAACATGTAGGGGACAAATTTTTGACATATCCCGAACATGTTTGGGATGAATTTTTCGACATGTCTTGACATTAGTTGGGTAATTTTCGACATGTCGCGGCTTTGTTATCCTACAAACTCCAAGACCACTCCTTCCCTTCCCTCCCTCTCTCGTTGAATTGTCTCACGACTGCCAAAGCAAAAAACGACAACTTAGAAATCTCCGCACGGGAACCGTATAGCTGGGCAACCCGACCAATTCTACCGGATTTTGATTTTTGACGGGATATAGATGGGTTTGACCATTCTCACACCTATTTTTCTCAATGAGTCAGGTTCATCTCGGGTTAACAACCTTGTTTTTTATACATTTGATTAAAACCTAAAATTTCCAAACTGAACCAACGTTCAACGTTGATACTCCTAGATCCTCCTCTTGGGCTACCTATAGGCTATAGCCATAACACTAAATTGTCACCATATTTGGCACCCAAGTGGCATGGTTACAAACCTCGGCTCACTTTTAACCATCCGTCCCTCTCTAGCCATTTGCATCTTCCAATTCTTCCTCCATCGCTGGACTGACTGATCTTCTTAAAGCAATGATCATGACTGATGCCTAATTGGCTATCTTTATCTACTTAACAAAGATGCTAGCAACCCAATAAAAGAAACGCGGCCAATGATATTAATCTTATTTCGTTGCTCTGAACACGGCCTCAAAGCATCTTGGTTTCGTCCTAAAAAGAGATCCAGTTTCTGGATGTACACAAATCTGGAAGTGGAAGCTGTCTGCGCGCACCTGATTTTCATTTAAGCACAGTTTGGCCTTGGTGGTCCAACATATGGCCACGTTTATGCGCAACTCTCTGCAGCTGATCGTAACCTGCAAGAACTCCAGCACCAGCAACACCAAGAAGCATATTTGCAGTTACTCCTCGAAACAGAGCAGCAAAGCCTTCAACATGGACGATCTCACGGAGTGCGTGTACAGCATTGCGGTACTTATTTGGTTGTCCAGAAGTTAGCATCATTCTTCGCCTTACGGTGTCAAAAGGGTATGCACAGACCCCTGAGACGGTAGTGATGCTCCACCCTAACAGGAAACTGGCTAAAAAGCTTCCCTGCAAATGGACAAGTCAATTTAACTTGCCACTAAATGAACATATAATGCATTAGTAATTCAATTTCAGGTTTGAAAAAGTGCTATCATACATTTACCTTGTGTTTGTTTTGGCTTAAAGATACATTAACTTGAAGAAGAAGGAAAAAAGAAGCAATTGCTTAAAAAGCTAAAACAAACACACAGGTGCAACTTTTTACCACAACTATTCACCTTAAAACCCAAAAATCATCCAAATCTAAAAGATATCTCATAGCATTTCCCCCTGTGAATTAAGAATACAATCTTAAAATTATAAGCATTACAATTGATTTCCAAAAATCAAAGCTTCCTTTATTGTTAAACAAACTATTTACCTTTTTATTCGTTTACTTGTTTACTATTGAAAAGAATCTCATGTCCCGCAGTCTCTGCTTTTCTCTAAAACCCAACCAAACACAATTTCATTCTTGTCTACTGAAATTCACTTATTATTATTATTATTATTATTATTATATTATTATTATTATTATTATTGTTGTTGTTGTTGTGCTTGTCTTTTTTTTTTGTGCGAATATTATTGTTGTCTTTTTTTCTATTTTTTGCTGAGAGACTCTTATTTTTTAACAAAATCGTAAAACAAACGCACCCTAGGACAAAATGTAGTCATCACAGAATGACAGAAAGTTTAAGAACAAGCATTTACAGCTTCACAAAGCAGTATTCAACAAAGAGAAGATTCAAGGCTACACGAAGACTTACACCAAAGCACATTAGTACGAATGAAAACGCTTACCTCCAGGGATCCCACCAATACAATTGGCTTCAAGGTATCGTAGATCCCGAAGTACATGCCTCTATACAGTGTTATCCCAATGATTGAAACCCCAAATCCTCTATACAACCCTACAATGCCGTCACTTGACCAAGTTTTGCTGTACACATCAAGTAATCCTTTGAACTGGCGCTGACGGGATCCCCTTGAATCAGTCCCCAGACGGGTACGTGCATAATCCAAGTGGTAGAGAAGCAACGATGTAGTGGCTCCAGCAGCACTACCTGAAGCGACATTCCCGATAAACCACTTTGTGTATCCATCTTTCTCCTTCGACCGTCCCAATAAGCTTTTGAAGTAACCTTTAAATGCAAAGTTGAAAGCCTGAGGACAACCCGGCATTCTGTTTTAGTACTAATATATTGTGACGTGAACATCAGCAGCTAAGGAGATTAAGCATTGGAAAATATCAGTAAGTAAGCACACAGTTATTCCCCTTTATTGAAGCCAACAAGGCGTAGTAAGCACACAGTTATTCCCAATACAGAATACAAGAGATTTCAAACGGATTATTTTCGGATTCATATTCTTGCCAGAGTGCGTAGCATATTGAAACCATCCTTACAAGCCCTTAAGGTAAGCTTCCTATGACACCCTGGTTAAGTAAATGCATATGGTGTGGAATACTAGATTCTCCTTATTTTCAACTGAGGTGTTTATGTACCCAGGGCTTGGTTAGGAGACATTCTGTAGAAAAGGACTAGCAACTTTAAGGCATGTACCTTGAAGTCAATCTTCTATCGAAATCTTAACAACTCCACCTATGATACAAGAGCACCGATCTCCTCCAGATGCAGAGAGTGCAGAAGATTCAACCCAGCTAATCTAGCAAATAAATATGATTTCGGAGTCCAGTAACTCATGAATTGCATATAACTCATACTGGCAGAAAAACGAGGCCTCCTAATTCGCTTATCTATATTCACATTAGACATCATGGATGATTCATCTACGCTAAACCTCAACTTAAGTGACACCCAAGGAAAACTAAATTTGGAATCCCTATTCTGCAGAGACCACAAAATACAAGGTTCCTGACGAAATCAAGCTGTGCACAGACCATTACTCCATTGTTCTCCAAGCCATCAATGTTGATACCCCCCCCCCCCCCCCCCCCCCCCCCCCCCCCCCCCGAAAACAAAACTATTGTAACATGTAGGCAACCTTTTAGGTATGTATCACAAGTGTGTTTTAAGAGAATCCAAAACAGAAGCCGAGTATTCCCATTGTACCAAGACGCTACAAATTAGCAATGTCAGGAGATAAGCAATTTCATTTTGCACTAAGGACATACATGTTCAATCTTTCTATGTAGAAGCAAGTAACCTAATTCTCGGGCCCTAAAGCTAATGCACGTCAACATTTCTAAGATTTGAATCGCCTCCATAATTTCCTCAGAAGCCAAACTACTCTATCTGACAAAAAAAAAAAAAAAAAAACTAAATGAACCAAAATAAAACCACATTCGAGCATGGAATCCAAAGGATTCAGCAGCTAGCTAGTACCTAAGACGGATTGGAGAGGTAAGGAATGAAAATAAACCTGAGTTGGGAAATAGCGAATGACATTGGCCTGGTTACCTCTCCAAAATGACAAAAAGCCTTCTTCTTTCAAAACCCGGCTGAAGCAATCCCCAATGCCCACATAGGGTCTTCTCAACTGCCCTCTCTTAATCAATTCACCTTGATTCTGCAACAAAAGCTTCACACGCTCGATTGGTGCCGCAGCAGACTTGGAAACCACCGCTGCCGTCCCTCCCATAACAAAATCAGCATAAAATTTCTCCGATTTTCTGTTCATCGCCATCTACTCTGTCGAAGCCCCCTGGCGATGAGAAAACTGTCAGGAGGCAAGACCCCTCAAAGTTTAAAGCATCGATGGCGGATTTAAGGCAGCAAATCTCGATTCTTTTCCGGTCCGTGAAGCCCTCCGCACCGGCTTCCTCCTGGTTGAGAACAAGCAGCGGCGGCAGACGGTGACGGCTTTTTTACCTCTTAAGATGACGATATTTGTCTCCCATTTAGAACCGCCCTTCTCTTTCCGATTTTCTTCCCAACCTCTTGCGTATTATCCGTTTCCTCCAATTGTCCGGTTTTATAAACTGATTTTAATCTTCTCCTTGCCGCCGGTTACCATCCAATTCCATCTTTGCAAAAGGGCTCTTGGGGAATGGGATGATTTATGGCGCGGGTTCGTTTGGCAAGACATATTGTCACGGATTTTCATCATTTTGTATTTTTTAATATGATAATAAGAAATCGTAAATCTTAAAATATGGACATTATTATTATTATTATTATTATTATTATTATTATTATTATTATTATTATCATCTTCAGTTGCATCGAAACACCTTATTCGTCATCCTAACTTTCATTAAAATTGTTTTAATGTCCTTAATTTACTTTTTCTCTTTCAAAATCAAAACACATAAACACTAAAACAAACATATACAACGACACCAAATAACAAAGTAAAAAAAAAAAGCTACACTCAATATGAGAAAAAAGATTAAAAAAACATTTAAAATTAAAAAGCGAACGACACTGATTTTCAACATGTCTCATACATGTTCGGGACGGGTTTTTCGACATCTCCCCGACCTGTTCGAGATGGGTTTTCCATATGTACCAAACATGTAGGGGAAATTTTTTTGAAATGTCCCGAACATATTTGGGATGAATTTTTTACATGTCCCGACATTAGTTGGCTAATTTTTTATTAAATTTATATCTAAATTGTACTTGTATTTTTGTTTTTCAGGGTTTGTGTTAGGAATTTGGATTTGGAGTTCAAGTTCAGGGTTTGGGCTTAGGATTTAAGAGGATAGTTGTAAATTAAAGAGGGTTAGGGTTTTAAGGTTCAGGTTTAGGGTTTGGGGTTCGATTTTAGGATTTGGAATTTTGGGTTCAGTTTATGATTCATGATATAAGGTTTAGGGCTTAGGGTTCTGTTTAGGATTTTAGGATTGAAGGCGTAGGGTTTGCATTTCAGGGTTCGGGTTTTGAGAGCTTTGCACAAAATGAGAATATGCCAACACGAAATATGTAATGATCCGTCAAACTAAAAAACAACAATCACAATTGTTTAATTTCAAAATAATTGCTATCAAAAGACTCATGCAATTAGGGATGACAACAAAACTCGAACCCTGAGTTGGATTCTGGAAAAAAAAAATTACTACTAGTGTTAACTTTTTTGTCGGAGGTTGGTCTAATATTAATCATTCGGTTAAAAAAAAATATATTGATCATTTGACAAAACATTAAATATTGTGAACTTATAATTCACTATGAGTTGGTGTTTTAGAAATTGGTATTGGATAGAGTATTTTTTTTTTTTATAAAAGTAAATTACCAATCTATAACTTTGAAGTATATTACCAATGTGTGTATCGCTTATGAAAGTGTCTAACTTTCTTAGAGATTGCTTCTGAAATTATCTAATTTTATCAATGATAGTTCTGACACAAAATATAAATTGTTGATCGCTGAGTTGCTAAATTAAAAGATAAATAGAGTTTGTGATTAGTATTGTTATATCTAAATTTATGAAAAGTTGGTACTCTCTGATACACCTTTGGTTTTTTTTTTGTCATAAAAATTCTTGCGAATTCACCAGATAAATGCGATAGCCACAAACATTACGATCACATGGCGGACTCAAAGACATACCAAATAAGAAAAATCAAACCAAATAATAGATAGATCAAAATAGCGTAAAGTTGTAAGCGCCACCCAATGGAAAGCCCGATTCGTGGTACACCTTTAAAGTTATACCAAACCCATTCAAGTGAAGACATGAAACTTCCGTTCAATTCTTAGGGAATGGGTTCATAGAGGACGATTCTTCTGCTAGTTTAATTAGCAAATCTCACATTACGTTTGAATCACCCAACCACTAATCTAACTTTGAAATTGGTTTGAAGAGCATATATCATGAGTTCCTACTTCCAAGGCAAACAAGGAGCTATCTTTAAAGTTTTCTCCAATAATATATGGTAGAGTTTTGTATAGTTTTCTCCATTTCAAATTTCCTGCAACGAAAGTGAAAGTAGGAAGGGCATTTTAGTTTGGGCTAATACCACTACAACACCCGAACTATCGAAGAAATGCCACTTATGTCCTATGCTTTTCAATATTCCATTTCTATCATGAACTATGATACTTTGCGCCATTTGTATCCTGGCGATTTCGTTGACCGTTATCTCTAACGGTTGACCTGACGGTGGTCAAAGAGATGTTGACTTTTGCTGACATGGAAGGAAACGTGGCATCCACGTAGATGCCACATCATACCACATATATTATTTAATTCAAAATCAAATTAAAATGCAAAATAATTAAAAAAAAATTAAAATAACCTTCTACCCACCGTCGCCTTCAACCCGCTCCCCACCCTACCCCGCCCTCAATTCTAACCATCGCTGTCGCCGCCTTCAAATCCGTTCCGCAAATCAGCATCTATGGCAACGATATCTCTCTGCCGCCTTCCCCCACGACAAGCTGCTCTTCCAGCGACCTCGCTTCCTCAACCCCTCCATCTGGAAGACGACGAAGCTCTGATTCTCATACAACCAGTGGAACAACTTCGGCGGCCGAAAGATGGGAGAGGAGAGAGGGACGATGATGGATAGGGACGCAAACGACGACTAGGGATCGCGAACAACGATCGGCGATGCCATGAGACACCGGCGATGCAATCTTCCCCTGCTAGATTTGATTCCCCTCCAAATTGCCCTAGCCCGCCGACCCAACATCGGGGCAAGATCAAGTTATCAATCGATGGGTGAAGGGCGGAAGAGAGACGGATTTGGATGGGGGAAGCTAGGGCCATGGCTGGTCGATTTAGGGCTCCTCTTGAATCGACCATGGAAGTTTCGATTCAGAGCAGTGGTGGAGGCAGGGGTTTTTTGTTGAATGAGGCAGGGGTTTTTGTCGAATGAGAGGGGTGATTGGAGCAACTGGTTGCGAGGAGAGCGGAGTACTGGGAGATGGTGGCGACTTCGCAGAGTCGGCGAGTTGGGAGGCGGAGTCGCGGAGAGGCGGAGGTGAGCAGGGAGGGAGAGAGAATGTGGGAGGAGGGTGAGGTCGGAAGTGGCCCAAAATTTTGCTTCTTTTTTTATTTTAAAATGTTATTAATTTAAAATTCCATGTCATCTGCCACGTCAGCGCTAACTATAATTTCTGTTAAAATTAACGGTCAACGCCGGTCAACTCTAACGGAAAAAATGGTTCAGGACATAAATGGAATATTTGAAAGAATAGGACACAAGTGACATTTTTGTCATAGTTCGGGTGTTGTAGTGGTATTAGCCCTTTTAGTTTTTACAATTTTTTATTAATTCATATAAAAAGATATCAATATCAGAATTTGAAACAATGCCTCTTCAAACAAAGACAACTAGCATAATCAATTACACTAAAATGTTTGTTGTAGCTTTATTTTAATACAAACCATAGACGAAGTTAAACTCTGAAAACCATAGGGCTTTCTATCACGATTAGCTAACCCACTAAGTCTCACATTAGTATTTTTATAGTGCTTGATACATCGATTTTCATAGTTGAGTTTCTTGTAACTTTCTCCATTTTAAAATTTCTACTCTCTCCTTAAATTTTTGCTAAGGGTAAATTGGTAATTGGCTAACATGGAAGAAACTATATCTTTTACTATGTGTTGAGTAGGGTTGCAAATGAGCCAAGCCGCTCATGAGCAACTCGGCATTCGAATCGGAAAAAACTCGTTCGACACTCGACTCGTTGTTTAACAAGCCGGCTCGCGAGCCGGCTCGTTAGTAAACGAGCCAAGCTTGAGCTAGGCCATGCTCGGCTTGATAAGCTCATGATCTAGCTTGACTCGGTGGCTTGTTGAGCTAAGCTTGCGAGCTGACTTGTTTAAAGCTTGTGGAATGATTAATTACTCTTCTGAACATGAAAATTATCTTGTTAAGAAGGATGTGTATGGAAGTTAGATGTTATTTTTAGTTTCTAATGTTGTTTTTATCATTTTTAATTTCTAATGTTCTTATTTGTACACATTTTTCAGCAAGAATGGTTTCAAATAGAGTTTATCTTGAGCCGAGCTTGTACTCAGCTTGACAAGCTGTGTTAATGAGCATTTACCGAGCTCGAGCTGAATTATTTTTGATCGAGTCGAGCTCGAGCTAAAATTTTTATAAACGAGCTGAGCTCAAGCTAAGCAAAAACCCTAGTGTTGAGTCCTTGCATTTTTTTAAATTTATAATATTTTTGCTCTTTATCTTTTTTCTTATCCTTTTCTATGCTCTGGTGAAATTCCCTCAATAATGCTATAGTTTGCTCCTATTCACTTCCCAGTAAAGGCCACCTATGCAAATCAATCTTCTGGTATCTCTTAGAACTATGGTTTGATTGTTGCGGAAGGTGGGCAAGTAGAAGATTTCAACTCCTATATAAGTCAATGGAAAATAGAATGGAGTTCAATCAAATAGTTAGGGTCTGGCCTATCTTGCACGATTCCTCCGCAGTGGCATCACCCATTGGTTCTATCTCTCCTATATCGATGAACTACCAGAAGATCTATTTTGTTGCTTCTATTTGTGAGAACCCCGTTTCTAGGGATTCTCGATACTGATCTTCGACACTCGTGATAACTAGGGATTTAGGGATTGAGATTAAGAATTTGGGATTTAGATGAGAAAGAATAGAATTGGGAATTTGCCGAGGCCTTGGACTAGGATGAGACGAGAAATTAGGAGTTGAGAGGAGAGTTTAGGGTTTAGGAGACTTTGCTTAATATTGTTCTTAACTGATTATGATGTAAACCCAAAGTACATATTTATAGGAAAATACTGAAAAACCCTAATAATAATCCTAATACGACTAAATCTCTACTAAATATAATTATAATTATCCTACCTAATATAATAATAGAAACTCTAAATAAATGTGTTTCTGACAATCCATCCCCCTTGAAAACAACCTTGACCTCAAGGTTGTAGTTGACTTCTACCTCCTTAACCTTACGCTTTCTTCGTTTCCAATTGCGCCCGATCCCTTGAATGAACTCTTCTCGCGCAACTCCTGCTTTCCTTGTCTCTTCTCCACCCACGTGACATGTGTCACGTTCTTCATAGCCGAACAATTCGCCCTCTTCTAATTCAAAATTCACAAAATAAGAATCAGAGAACTGCTCTTCTTTACGCCC